GTCGATTCGGTCAAAGAGTTACGTTTAATTTTTTTTCTCTCTCTCTCTTTGTACTAATCTACGCTTTGTGCACCGTTCTTGCGATGCAATACTACTGTAACTGTATGCTTGTTCTTGAATTACGAATTTAGTTTCTAGGAAAAGGTCGTGTTTATCGATAATAGTTTGCCTGTCTGTGTCAACGATACAATTCGGATCAGCGATCAAAGCCTTGCGTTGCGCTAATAACGCATTGATCGCGCCGGTGACCAACGTTTGGTATCACGTCAATATGACGGTGTAGGTAATGAGACATAATTATGTTTGGGCAACATCTGTTATTTCTATCGAGTTAGCACGTGACTATGAGAAATACACAGTCAAGGGCACACGATAATAATAATATCGGCGCGTTTATGATTCAATCGATCGCAACCTTTTGAAATTGCAAACATGATTGTCACTAATGATTTTCGTTGCGAAATAAATTCAAGTTCTTTAACCATTTGAAACTGACGCCAAAATCTGTAACACAATTTATTAACGCTGGATCTATAAAATCCATTTAATCTATGTTAATTAAAAAATACTAATTAATTTCAAGGAACTAAAATAACTTGTATAAAAGAGAATTATTATTAACTCTTAACCGTACAAACTACAGAAACAACACACTTGGGTATACTCAACAATTTAATTATGATATATGTTTTCATAAAAATGAAAATATTGTAAATAATTTTTTTCTATTAAAAAACCAGATGTTAAGGAGTACAACGGTACCAAACAAAAGTGTACTATATCTTTATTAATAAAATTTATGAATTTATTAATAAATATTAAAAGAGTTGTAAGTAATGGAAAAAACATTTTAAAAACATTGGAAAAAAAGTCAGATATGCTATATTGAAAAAGCGTTTAAGAGCTAAGTACATTTCAACAAAAATAAATGCAAATGTAACATAAAAAAAATTAAATTATTCGACATTTTTTACAAAAAAATGTATAATTGAGTATGTCCAGTTAGCTATGGAGAGTTTAAAGAAACATCACAATTTGCTGCTAAAGAGAAATAAGCACCGATACTTTAATACTTTCGAATCGGGTTTACGAAAGGGTGAAAGATCAGGACGGAGAAGAATCTCGATGCCCCGATAACACTTGGATTACGTTGCATGCGCTCACATCATCACTCGGTTACGTTCATCGGATATGACGATACGTCGTAAACTTAAACTTCCGTGACTGCGCGATACACGTCCCGACATTGTCGAATCGGTTAGACAGGTCAAGCCATTTTTATACAAGGTGAGACTTACAGCGATTGAGTTCGATACTAAAAAATACATCGCGCTTGCAATCAAGGCTCCTTCATTAAACTTTGCATGATACGAATTTCATAAAACGATAATGAAACTACACAAAAAAACAATTTTACTAAAGTATTTAAAAATTTAGCTAAACACACAGCGAATAACTTTGTTGGACTGAATAATTATGTAGACGTCTAAACTGGTTGCTAGAAAAACTTTGTAATGTTGCTCGTAATAATGCTTGAGTATTTTACATATAATTATTTTGGTGTCCCAAATTATTTTCAGATCTGTAGTCTTTAAATTTGAATCAGTAGATAATCACTGATATCAGTCCCAAGAGATGGCAATATAATTAGTGAAAGTGAAATTTATTGTAAAATTTAACTTAAAAAAATCAATGAAACATGAAATCCTTAACCTTGCTATCTTTGTTTGAATTCAATGTATATGATATTGGAACTGACGTGCAAATATCGACATTTTAACTATATAACTTCGCTTATATAACTTCCTTTTCTTTCAATTAAATTTCACTGACCACTCAATGCTAAGCATATCACTGGGTAATCAATGATTATCCACTGATTTAGATTTAAAGAGTAATTAAAACTATTTCATTACTTAATTTTTAAATACTTTATGGCAAAATTGCTTCTTCCACGTACACCTTCCAAATCCCTAAGCAGTTTGAAGTACTACTTTTAATTGAAATAATTTCATTTTAAATTCTATATTATTGACAACTTTTAGTCCGACGATTTGAAATGCACGCGATTATTGATAGGATTACGGCTACAGAATGATTCCCGAGCACTCAGATCTACTTGCCAGTGCCACCCTGTATACACGCAGTTTGTGGTTATGCCGTCGTTCCGTCGAAAATAAAAGCCCACTGCTACGGTAATCTTCAGTACGGAGTAAAGCGAACGGACGCGGCGAAGCCAGGGGGTTCGGCGGAGAAATAAAATATTATTTCCCTATCAAACGGTATTACCTTCCGCTCGACGAGACTCGACGTATAACGGAGCCGATTTCCGCGCTTACTTTACTTCTCTACAGCACTTCGACCTTTCCCGCTGTTTCTTGCATTGCCATGCCGAGAGAGAAGGAAAACAGACAAGAAAGGTGTGAGCAAAGAAAGGGGCAAGGAAGAGACGTTTCTTTAGCTTCCTTCTTCTCCTACAACGAGCTTTCGATAAAGTTTTGCGGTACCAGCAATATCTCTCGCCTGAGTCACGTTCGATGAAAATGTTGTATTGATTTACGAGTCGGTTATAAGGCAACCGACTGCACGCCTCGTCTGTCCCGAGAATCCAGAGAAACTATAGAGAAGCAGGAAGAGAGAGAGCGATCGGACGAGAGATATATTTTATATCACTAAAATCGGACGGCTATCGAGTTGATGACGGATAATTCGTGTGCCCCCGAGTGTTTCTTTCCTTTTCCGTAAAATGCACGTTTTATCGGATTGGTGCTCTTAACTTGGAATTGATTAAATTAATCAAATTAAAAAAATTTGTTCACGTAATCTTCATATAAATTGTGATTAAAATAATATTTTCTTTATCAATATTAACAAGACATTATACTTTCATTATTATAGGTTCAATATTTTATCTTAACAACCGAATAATCACTTTCTGATTAAACAAAAATATTGCAAACAAATGTACCGACGATATAAAAAAAATGTTAGATAACATAGAAGAATATATTCGCGAGAAAAGATTGCAGTTGATAACAACTACGCATAGATATTCTTAAGTATAACAAAAGTTTCTATGGAAAAGTTTAGTTTGAATTGAATTTCTTGAAGAATATATAATATTTCGGAGACGACAAATGAGTTCTTTTCTCACGAATATTTACGCGTTGTGAGGTATTCTAATTTTCTTATACCCAGAGTTCCACCACTGTAGGATTAACTTTAATCTCAGTTTAATTTACTTTTTATCTTTTTCTAATTTTTAGGATTAGAAAAAGATAAACAGCAAACTAAACTAGCGGGCATTAGCCAAATGCTCTTACCAGAGGTTGGTGGAACGACAGGATTTGGCATGCCGTTCAATGTATGCGGTAACTGTCCAGCCAACGCGGTCATTGGATTGATGTACGTTCCTTGTGCAGTCGCTGCTGCCATGAGCGCTGCTTGCTGCTACAATATAAAGAGAATATCATTGTCAGAAAACACATTTCCTCTTGAATTACAATAATAAAGAAGGAACACATATATTTCTTCTTTATCATTATTTAAAAAAATTACTTAAAAAGAAAACACATAATCTTGAAGAATATTTACGAGAGATCAAAACTATCTCTTTTGTCAAGAAACACTTTATTTGAATTTAATGAAAGTAGGAGTATGTGTACCTGTAAACATCATTAGATGAATATTTATATTATATTATAAATATGATATGGTTATAAATAGAAAAATTTCAAAACGACATTTATCCTTTACTGCAAACCTGGGAAAAAATTAAACCGCGAAAGGTGATTATGAGGGACCTCTTTGCATGCCGGCGTTAACGCGACGGCATCGAGTTTCGGCCGATCATTTCCGAGAGTAACGAGGGACGAACCATCGCAGATTGTGAGTCGTGGTAACGAGGACAACAAGGCGGTAATGCGGTAACGCGAGAGCCATTAATGGTAACACGACCCACCTGAGCGTAAGCGTTGTAAGCGCCGAAATGATTGAAGAAGGGGTTAAGGATGCTCATGTTCCCGGCCATTTGCTGCATGCGTCTTATTTGTCTCTCTTTATCAGTGTCTGCGAATTTTACCACTATGCTGGATGACGCACCCTGCAACAGATAATGCATGTTGTTGATTTCTCGCTTTTATAACGTCAGAATTTTTACAGTACGACGCAATTTTATGATATACGAGAATTACAATGTACATTTTAACGACCTCTTCAACGAGCTTTATTATTTATAGCGTGTGTTATGACCAGCGTACGGGAAAACTGTTTTAATTGAGCTTTTATAATTAAAGGAATAATCGGAGATTCTTTTTTGTACTGTTATATATTTCATAATAGTGTCTAATACTCTTTTATTTCATAGATGGCAGAATTTTTATAAAAATAATTAAAATCCGCAGCAAGGCTTTTCGACGCATTTCAACATTAGTAATTCTATTCTAAAATTCCATGATTGTATAGCTAGTGATTGTATGATTGTTGAAAAAATACATAATGTAATATATCGAATCTGTCGCACGAGAAGTAAAAAGTATCATATATACTCTCTAGACGTGAAGGAACACAGATGTAGATTTAAAACGTACGGGACGAATAAGTGATTCAAGATCCCCCTTTGCATTAAAAAAAGACTTCTTCTCTTTCGAGATGCTCGCGAGGATATGTAAGGCGATGACGTTCTCACGATATCTAAAATATAAATGGAAAGGGGCAACAGGTGGTCAGTGGCCATTGTAGCTGCGGAGAAAAGCTCGGCATTCGAGCTCCCGGTGATACATTATATTCACGTCATCAATGCAAATGCTGGCTGGGCGTTCCTGAGTTTATATAACGTTTGTAGTATTATAACTCGCGTAACAAGACTTTCAGCTTTGGTCACGCGACTTTGCATGGCGCACTTCATCGTGCTTTACTCGCGTGCATCTCTTCTCACTTTTTCCACATAGCTTTCAGGCTTTGCTTCAACGTTCTTCTTTGGAGAGCCTAAGATATGATCACTATGAAAAAAATGTAATCTATCTGTAATATTCATATAATTCTTCCCAATTAATTCATATTTTTTTATAATTTTGACACAACGTTTATTGGTTTCGTCCTAATGTATGCATTAACATTAAATCGAAATACTGTTATGATAAACAATCTCTTATATACAAAAATCTCATGCCGCACACAGAAATTGATAACAATATAATGAGAAACTAATTTTATACAAAATTGTGTTGTTCATGTTAAAAAATCAATTTACTAGATAAATAAATGCGTTTATTTCCTGAAAATTCTTACAATAATCAACCCTTATATTATATATGTATAAAACTCGTTAATTAAACCCGTAATAAGGCTAGTGCGCTGATTAAATTAAATTGTTCAATAATATGTTATTAAAATTTAACTTAATTAACTGTAGATATAAGATGCAAGATCTTAAAACTAATATTAAAAAAAAATTAACCAATATTATGAAATATTAGATATATTAAATTAGATCCATTTGAAACATTGTAATTAAATTTAATTGGGTAATTAGAGAGAGATGGATAAAATTTTTTAAATTCAGTCATTTCAGACAGATCTAATCATACATATGTTATGATAAAAATAGCATAGACATTAAAATTAAAAAAGAAAAAAATTTGATCTCTGGCGTGATTGTTATTACATTGATACCAATTGGAGCGTATATCGATAATCGGTCAACTGTCTTCACCCTGTGGCAATTCTCGACAAAAGGCTCGGGGCCGTTATTCATCAGCGAAGCGCATACGCTAACCGATGCAATTGCTTGTAATTTAACGACGAGGACACAGTCAGAGGCGGACCGGTAACGCGATATATCCGCTTGACAGATTTCCACAGAACGTCACCTTGTGATACATCGTGTCCCGTTCCTATTAGATCGAACGAGACGTCGCTTCGGTGATTTCAAAGACAATCCTGACGAAACGTTTTCAGCGTGTGCATGCAACCTGGCACTCCCGGTAGTCCGTCCTGACATTCTCGTTGTAATGCATGTGCTACTACGCGTCGAGGTGTGCATATGTCCTACTATATATGCGTTAAATGCTCGCCTCTAAAATGAAAGAGAGGGCGATTTTGTGCGACGCCAATCGACGCTGTCAGAAACACTCGCTCGTGTCGCCGCGCCAAATTTTGCTTTCATTATTTTTACTTTTTTTCCTACGTCGTTTTTGACCCAAATGGGCGTTGACGCGGCAAACGAAATCACGCTCGCAGCCCGAACAGCTTTTAGAGAAAAGCTCTCCTACCATTTTCTCCTATTGTACCCTCGTAGATTTCATCTAAATGTGTAATGCGACCAAACCATCCCGCTCTCATAGGAGAGAACGTAACTTCCGTTAATTTTCGGAATATTCTACATGAGCGAGAGTGAATCGAACAAAGACGAATGAGAACGAACGAGAACGTTTGTGTCTCGCGTTTTGAAATACGCGTACCTCGAAACTCGAAGAGATACAACGTTATAACCGAAGACCCAGAAAACAGACCTGGACTGCGTCATCCATATGTAAAATGGTAAATTGATAGATAAAAATGAGAGAAATATAACTCAAAGACGGTCAGTCCCTATCTGTTTATATTCAACTAATCATAATATGTATCTTAAAAAGAGAGGATGGGCCTCTTTCATGTTTTCTCTTTCGCATTTTTATCGATCAATTTTACATATGGATCTAGATCTGTTCTAGATCTTTGGTTATAACGCTGTATCTCCGAGTTTCAATCACATTTTACCACATACGATGCACTATTTAGATACAGAGTTTATACTCTGCGTTTGGTTATAACGAGCTTCGAGTCGATAATGCATAGGTGCGAGATCGAAGATTCGGAAGGTCACTGCGTAACCTCCTACGCGAGATCGCGGTTGAAAATCACCATCTTCGCAACCTCTTTTTACCTTTGCCAACCCAAATACGCCAACACGCCGTATTTGGTATTTGCGAGCGCTGAAGGGCTTGCACACTACACACGGGTACCTCGATTATTAAAAGTTCCGTTCGCGGTCGGAGCCCGAACGAGGTCAAACGCGCGTATAACCGCGAGCGTCGCGAGAAAATCAGCGACGAGCTTGCCGTATACAAAGTCGTAAAAGTTTCCAAGAGTGGATGTAACTTTCCGTGTTACTGTAACTACAACTAATATTGGGAGTTTTGTGCGATACTCCTCCCTTTTTGCCTCTCAGCTATACGCCTCAGCGTTACTCCAAAGCTTTTGCAAAGAAGCAAAACTGTAAAACGTTAAGATAACTTTACGTTCTTTAAATGCGCTTCGTTCGCTTTCCATATTGTAATATTGAATCTGTCTAAAATCTACCGATTTTCCGAAATTATTTAATAAACGACGCAAATTATTTAAATAAGAAACTTGATTATATTTTATTCGAATATGTTCAAGTTCTTTAATACTTTTTGTAGCCAAAGTAATCTTAAAAAATGTAATACATCAAAGAAGCTTTGCCTCTTTCTCTTGTACGTATAAATTCTTTTATTCTTTTCTCAATTGCAATTTTGTCATATCTAAAAGAAGACGGGAGGAGGGAGCTCTAAATTGGAGTTCGTGTTTTTTTGCAAGAACAAACCCATTTAAATTCGTTAAAAGCAACGATGATTGTCACATATAGAAGTCTGTATATTTCCTCTTTTCACAGACAGTTTGTCGAAACATTTTCTGAAAGTTAATTGTAACAATGGCAAAAATCTTTATTGCGTACAAAGAACTTTCGAGCTAATTGCAAAAACTTTTAAGTACGCCGAGCACGTCGCACGCTCTAAATATTAATGAGTTCGAGGTCAGTGTTGACGCAAAGAGAAAAAAAGCGGCAAAAAATTCGAAACGTCGAATTCCCCCGAGTAGATGCCACGGTATGTGTCTATCCCCGCGCCTGTTACACCCTTTCGTGTGAGAAAAATTGTCGAGCCGCGCCTGTTACACGCCACTGGTACTGAACGGCATCGACGCATGCACGTCTGAAAGATAATTTGTCTCGCGTCGACAGTCTCGAGCTTCGAAGCCTTGTGCGCCACGCAGGTGTAACGTAGGTAACCCATAAGGTGTATGTGACATTTACGCGAGCACATATGTACGACGGTGCGCGCACGTGTGCGGCATAGAGAGAAGATGAGGCTGGAAACGGGGCGAGACGCGGTCGGGGTTGCAAGGGGAGGATCGACGAGGTCGTATCGGAGCCAGTGAAGCCGAAGCCTCATTATTGGGGGATTACGGTTCATTAATTCCGATCCAACGTTCTGAACTGCACGCGGAAAGGAAAAGCCGTCCTCCTGAGAGCCGGGGGGGGGGAGGGGGAGTATCATGCGGAGAACGTTTGAAGCTGCCGGCACCGCCGCCTCCCCTTGTTCGTTATGTCTGTTCTACGTGTCGCCCCCATTAAAGTTGCCCCTTTAAAAATGTCGATATTAAACCGCATGCTTTTTCTTCCATTATGATTTCGTGAGCCGACGTACGTGGGAGGGGGGGGGGAGGGGAGGGGCTCTCTGTGTTTGATGTTTCATCCATGCGTACGACGTTGTCTGGCCGAATTCGGACTTTCACCCTTACGCCCTTAGGGCTAGAGAGAGAGAGATTCGTGATGATGACTGATGCTCTTTATACCTATTATATCCGTTGGCGTGTTTAATACTCTCTCAGCGTATTTCTCATTAACTGCAGATACCGACCCGAGTGGGTCGACTCGATTGAGAGCTCCAAAATAAAAGTTTATAAAAAATCTCTGCTGCCTCCACTTGGAGGAACATCTCGCGTTGGAGCTTAGCTCAGAGAGCCACAATATTGAGCAGGCCTTGCCAACGGAATGAAGCAATTACCTGCTGATTGGAGGCTCTCACGTTAGCCGCACCATCACACTTGCCAATCCGTTGGACGGTAATTTCAATAGATTCAACTGGAACCGCAAGACTGACCGGAACGCCGGATTGCCCCTCGTCCGTGATTCTCTATCGAATCGAAATACAGATGCGAACGGTTTAATTTGTCGATGTGTCGCAAATTACAAATCGCTTCTACGATCCTTTTAAATGTCGATAGAAAATAACTAATTGGAAAACCGCTGCGTGTAAA